CCGGGGGGGGGGGGGGGGGGGGGGGGTGCGGACTCCATTCATTCCAAAATTGAACGTAAACAATGTGATGACATTATCGGACAGTAAAGAAAGAGGTTTCGTAAGAAGGTTTGTTTGGAAATCATCTAGTGTATGGCCAGCTTAATATTCTGACCCACTCTACAATAGTGGAGATGTAAAAAGGAGACATGTTTGAAGTCCAGACAGGGTGACGACCATGGCTCCCTCCATAGACATAATGGAGCAAATGAGCTTAGGAAAGGAATTGTGTTATTCACCGCCTCAAAAAAGATAACTAATGCAAGTACAACATCTAAGGACTGGTAAGCTGCAATATATTACATTTTGGATGGGAGTTTAGCATATTCTTTAACGTAGACCTCGCAAGCAGTATATTCTCGCCATCCCTTTACTCACCTTCTGCTCTGTGTAGCCACCGAGAGCCATAAGAAGCCCTTGTGTAAGCTATGAGTAGCTGGAGTCATAGGGTTATGGGTTCCCCAGTTGATATTGCAGCTTTTCCACACACTACCACAAGTTACATTCTCCTCCAAACCCTGGGTATTTCCTTCAGCTACCAGCGCTGAACAGATCAGCAGGTAAGAAGATGTTGGGAACATATAGGAGATAAAAGAAAGCTTGTTGCTTTTCCATTAATTGGAGGAGCATAGCAAAGTGAAAACTGATCAATTGCGTTGGGTTTGCTTTGCTCATCACCATCCATTTTAATGCCTTCTGGGACCGGTTGTGATACTATTTAATGCAGGGAGTCCCACTGTGCATGAGACACAAGCAGTTAAACCCTGGCTCTGCAGTGCTGAGAACCCGGCATAGAAAACAGCGTGGCCTAGATTCTGCTGAGCCCTGGTGCTTAGCACTTCCTAATTCCCACATGCATGAATAAGAGATAAGAAGTGTTACATTTTACACTCCTTTGATAGATTTTCTCTCGCGTTCAAATAAGCTGAATATTCACTTTGAGGATTTCACAGAGAAGAAGAAAAAAAGAAGACAACTTTTAATCTCAATCAGTAACCTTTAGACCAGAAAGTGTCGTGGTAAGGGTAAAGAACAAAAGAACACTTAGGGGCATATTTATAAAGTATTCACTGCAACATTCACTGGCAGTGAATCAGTAATTTCCAACATGCACCAGGGAGATTCACCTGCAGTGAATATTTGGTAAATGCCAGATTTACTGCTTTATAAATATGCCCCCAAGTAGAAGTGTCAGGTTGTCCTTCGGTGTATATGAATTCCAGGCTGATGGTCATATACGTCATAATGCAGTCACCAAGTGCAGACATTCCAGCTAGGTCCCGTGGTGAAGAGTCAAATATATTATATATATATATATATCTATCTATATAGATATCTCTATAGATATCTCTATATAAAAAAAAAATTACATTTATTTTGAGGTTATCATTATCACCAAAATCTCACCTTGTGAATACAGCAGAATTTGCATTTCAAGTAGTACGCATGTGAAGAGCTGAACCAAGTTCTCCAATCCCAGTAACTCAAAGGCCTCTCTGAGAGGATAGTCTGACAATGGCAGTTCATTAGGTCCCGGTCTCTGGCAAACAATAGGCTCGTATACACCATAGAATTTCAGTGACCTCCCCGGCGGCGGCAGTGGGACCTCATACAGAATGTTATGTATATAACTTTCCAGTGGCAGAGGTGGCGGCTGCGGGGACGTCACAGCTTTATAGAGTTGTGTTAGGAATTTCTTGCAGGCTTGCATGAATGGGAGCGGGGTGATCAGACATAAGCACTTGGAAACGTAAAGCGTGTCCCTGTTGATGTCGTAAGTGTTATATCGCTGCAGCTTTGCCAGAGACGTGGCATCTCCGTCCTCCAAGCTGCTGGCTAAGGAGTCCATGCTGCAGGAGGATGAGGCGTACACACTATGCTCCGCATTATGCATCTGGTACAGAGTCTGCATGGCAGTACATATCTGTTTACTGGTCACCTCTTCGTAAAACGTCAGCGCGAACCCGTATGTTCTAGAGCCATCCTCTCTGGTGATGATGTATGAATGGAACTGGGGGTCCCGGCAGTCTGCCTGGGTTCGGAAGGACAGCCCCTTCGGCATGCAAAGCTGTAAAAATTAAATATACAATACAATTTAGATTGTTTATCAATAGTTACAACTGTTTCCCAACTCCTAAACAGAAACAAAGACATAAATATATTTAACCCTCCAATAAGTTCAATATATGCCTAAATGTTTGTGGACACCTGTCTCTCACACCTACTGTATATAGGTTTGTTGGAGGTCCCATCCCAAAACAGGGGGCATTAATAGGAATTCGATCCCCCACCCCCATCCTTTGTGGCTATACCAGCCTCCACCCTTCTGGAAAGGCTTTCCACAAGATTTGGAGGAATGTCGGGGCGAGTTTAACCCCATCCAGCAAGAAAAGCATTTGTGAGGTCAGGTACTGATGTTGGATGAGAAGACCTGGCTTACAACCGGTGTTCTAATTAATTGCAAAGGTGCTCAGTAAGGTTGAGGTCAGTGCTCCGTACAAGTCACTAAAGTTCCTCCACACATAACCAGTCAAACTATGTATTTATGGTGCTGGCTTTGTACACAGAAGCACAGTCATGATGGCACAAAAGAGCCTTCACCAAACTGTTGCCACAAGGTTGGAAGGGCACAATGCTCTAAAATATCTTTGTATTTTGTATCATTAACAGTTCCCTTCACTGGAAACATCTGAACTCAATCATTTGGAGGGGTGTCCACATACTTTTGGTCATATAATGTTAATAACCGACAAAGAAAAACATTATATGTTTCTGTAACAGAATAAATACTGTATCCCTATGATGGTCGGCCACATGCCACCATCAAAGCACCAGTAAAATGGACTCAGAATCTGTAGAGGATAATGTTCAGGAACCTCAGTCTGTGGATCTTCCAGAAAGGTCCAATACATTCCGCTCAATCTGACTTTGTGTATCCAACTCAAAATACCCAAAAGAAAAATTCAGGAACCTAGCTTGTCCCACCATTCACGTCTCCCGGTTGGTTCTCTACTGTGATGAGCAGCTTCACAGTGCAACAAGAAAACTCTGGAGTAGTGATAAGGCTGGGCTTGGTGCAAACTCAATTCAAAACTCTAACCACCATCCCCTCCTTCTGAGCCAAGCTATATATGTCACAAAGGGGTGCAGAATGCCCCTGCCTCAACTTTCCACAATGATTGCGCTGAGAGGAGGGGGTAACGGTCATAGAAAAATAGAGATCTAATTTGGATCTACTGACTGAGTAGTTTGCACTGAAGGTCATCTCCGTTTACCTTTTTGTTAAAAAAAAAAAGAACAAACTGAAAACATCTTGACGCATACAAGGGGGGGATTCAAATCTCACCTGTAACATGTATAAAATCTGAAGATATCACCTAATGAGGACCTAGTTTCAGCCAGGACTGTCCAGCCAGCATTGTACACTGATTGAAAGGGGTAGCAAAGCTGTGCTTGTTCAAGGGACTATAGACATAGCTGTGTCTGCAGAATGCAGCAGTTAAGACCCAGTACCAGCCAAGCCTTTGTATTTTGTTTTGGGTAGACTGGGGAAGGGTTAGCCTAACCCTACTCTGAATATAACCTTAAACCAAACCTACTATGAATCCTCAAAAATATTTACAAAAAAAGAAAACCTAAAATAAATATTCTTCCTGTTCTCAAGAGCCAAACGTAATTTGTGGCGTCTCTACTCGAGAGGTTGCGTTTCAGATTTGATTTCATAAAGCTTAATTACCTGATGTGAAACAAAATCATAACAGAATATGTTAAGAAAATTAGTTCTGCTGCATATAATCAGTTCTAGGAGTCAATGAAAGAGTCTCGCTGTAGCAGTGCGCCTACACACATACACAACAGAGCTCTTATATAGCAACATCATACTCAGATGGAGTCTAATTAACATTTTCTTCAGACAAATGTGGGAATATTTACTTATCGTGTTATATACTTTACTTACTTATATTACTTATCGTGTTAAGGTTTTAAAAACCTCTTATTGGTGTATATTTGTAATTATACACATACATGGGGGCAGCCATATCTGCTCATTATATGCTCAGGTTATACTTAGCAGTGTTACACAATGGTTGTCCTTTGCTGCTCCTTCTCACAAGATTGAGTCAGCTGACTTAGGCCTTGATCACATAGGTGACAAGATGAAAGCTTCTCAACCGCTTAGTAATGCTCAGTAGTAACGTTTAAATGGACAGCTGATAGTGTAGTACAGGGGTGGGCAACTCTGGCCACACCAGCTGTTGTGGAACTACAAGTCCCACGAGGCATTGCAAGACTTATCGTTACAGGCATGACTCCCAGAGGCAGAAACATGTTGGGATTGTAGTTAAAGCACAGCTGGAGGGCTGGTCCTGCCCACCCCTGATGTAGTACACATGTAAGGCCCCATTCACATGGGGCAATTTGGGATCCGTGTGGCAGGAATCCCAGGTGTCCGATTTAGATGTGGTCATGACTCCCAGAGGTAGAAGCATGTTGGGATTTGTAGTTAAAGGAGAACTATGGGGCCAGTGTTTTTCCCCATAGTTCTCCTTGGGGTAACGGGAGGACACAAACTAGCGTCCTCCCGTCACCCTAAGCTCAGTATACCGCGAGCTACAGCTCGCGGTATACTGAGATGCCGCACCTGGAGCGGATCCCGACTTAGATGACGGGATCCGCCCAGCTGCGTGAGTGACAGCTGGCTCTGCCTATCTAGAGGCAGAGCCAGCTGTACCCGCCCCCTCCCGTTCCGCCAGTCAGCGCTGGCAGATCGGAGCGGGGAGAGGGGAATCCAGCCCCTTCCCCTGTCACGGCAGAGAGCCGTGACAGGATCGAGAGGTGAAGGAACCCGGTATGTTTTCCCTCACCTCCCGATCTACTGAGCCGACCTGTGACAGTCTCATTGTCACAGGTCGGCTTAGAACTATGACGTGAGTGGAAATCACTCATGTCATAGTTCCTTTAAAGCACAGCTGGAGGGCCGGATTTGCCCACCCCTGGTGTAGTACACATGCAAGGCCCCATTTACACGGGGCAATTTGGGATCCCTTCGGCAGGAATCTCAGGTGTACTGTTTAGATGCGGCCACTGTCCCCGTTCAAGCTAAATGACAGCGGCCGCATCAGTAAGCGGCAGTCGTACGATACAATTACATGCAGTTTGGAATTGGTCGCTGGATTCATTATTGAAAAAAAGTTTGAGAGTTTAATACTACTTTAGGGATTTCATTACCATTCAGTTCTATTTTACATACGATCATTATGAAAGAACTCCTGGGGCTTTCACTACTGACCTCCAGATTATGATAGTTGCCTGGCTGCATCTATCTTAATACATCCGAGTCACAGACAGGAAATGAAAGCTGGAGAAAAGTCAGAATGATTAACCCCCTATGCTTCTTCCAGGTCAGTGACTTGTAGTACTGACACCAATGCATCAGCATGGCAGCCAAGCAATAGGCATTTTCATAAGGAAAATCAGCAACAGCATCCCTCTGATCATACCATGTTGACGGCATCTTGGTCGAAGGGGTTCCACTCCACATTCTGAGGGTAATGAGCGAGGACTTTCGACTTGAAGGTTCTTCTCACCGGGCTCTGGTCGAAGTTTTCACCTGAATAACGAGACAGATTGTTTCATTCAGAATTCACTTTTTAAATCAAATAGATCCAACTAATGATTTTTATTGTTCTTGATTTGAAGACCACATTACTGAGACCACCAATCACGAATCAGCACCACCACCACCAGATATCCAGGATTTTTTAGGATTGACAGAAGTTTGGACAAGAACTTACCATGGGCTTCATGAAAACAATGTAATACTATGACAAATATAAATAGATAAATACACTGTTAATGTACATATGTTAATTGTTTAACCTGCCAAAACATTTAATTCTATTCAGCCAGTTTTTTTTTTTTAATCAGGCATCTCTGCCAGACAGCACAGCCTGGTCCTCAAACTCAACTGCAGTGGCAAAACAGCTTGGTCAAGAACACCCACCCATGTTCTCTCTTCCAACTAGAAAATTCCCTGTCAGCCCATGTGCACACTGCAGAGCCTGGCTGGCCGCTAGTGCTGGCTCTCCCTCCCCCAGTGATGCAATTGGATGGTGAAGGAGCAGCAACATAGAGATAAGTAATCAATTTTGTGTGCATGTGCTGGCAAGAGGCGTGCTGACAGAAGGAGTAAGCAGAGTGGGCAAAGCAGAGCCTAACTGGCTCCTAGTAATTCTCCTCCCAATGCAGCTGTACAGGGGAAAAAGAGAAGAAGCGGACATTGAGACAGATTCAGGAACATATACTAGCTGCATTTAAAGCTGAATATAAAAAGACACAAACTAATGCAGCTCTGTAACTCTTAATGAATCATTACATTTTACCTGAACTTGTCTTTGTATCAGCCTGTTGCAGTCCCTGTGCAGCAAAGCTCAGATTGGAACAGGGACATGCAGCCCAATGAGCCAAATCAGCTGTGCTGCAGTGCTAACAAGAACATCCCGATAGGAGTAGAGAGCATTGTGCACAGAGCACAGAGATGAGCTCAGTAGTCTGCTGATCCTCCTTTCACTGTCCAGTCACAGGCTAGAGGAGGGGCAAGACCTGTAAGTGTTATTTAACTACAGCAGAAAAAAACTCAGGTCTCTATCCCTGCCAGTCAGGGTTGTAGCAGGTAAAACAGCTCCCATATATGTGTTTTGTCTGTGTATTTAGCCTTTTGCATGGAGTCCAGCTTTAATAATACATGAACTGATTTTTACTTAATACATAATCGAATCAGTCTGTGTTTTCATATCTCTGGTTCGGTTTTAACATGGTTATGCTAAGTAGCAATGGTTTAGCTCAATATATGTGACAATGGCAGAGACAAATGCAGAGTTTAATTCATCATATGAGCCCAATGCAGAAGGAACTGAGGTCTGCACCCTGAAAGCACTTTTCCATACACTACATGGACTGCACACTGATTCCCATGCAAGTAATGTTAACCCCTCTCCAAATTTTTTATCAGTTTTACTGAAATACAACTGATATATTCAATCATTCTGCAGTCACTAATCACTAATCTTCCCTTATGGAAATATAATCCCTTGTTTGCATCCTCACCTCCCCTGTGCCAGGATCCTCTGCACCAAAAAAATAAATCCTTCCTGACCGACTAACAAAATACCATAAAACCAGACTTAAATCCCAAATAAACCTTCAGTTTAAATCAGTGTCACACTCAGAAAATTGCCCCCTGACAATAGCTGCAGTGAAGGATCCCTGCTCTGTGTATGGAAGCAGTGATCTCTCTGCAGGAGGTCCGACACACTCCCTGCAGAGTCAGACCTATAGCTCTGCAATCAGTAAAGATCATGCTCCCTGATTGGAGAGTTCTAGCTCTGATCCAGCATGGGGGGTTTCAGACCTCTGCAAAAAGACCACTGCTTCCACACAGTGAGAGGATCCCACTCTGGCAAGGGGCAAGCTTTGGCTGCTTTCTAAAGAAAAACAAACTGTAAGACTTTGCACACCTTTATGTTTTGATGCACCTCAAATGGATTTAGCGAATTTAAACGGAAAGTTCAATTGGGCTTTAACATGCATGTGGTGAATTCAACTCATCCAGCAATAAAACATTAAAAGGGAATTTAAAACTTAATAATTTGGATGGTAAAAAGACCCAAATAACGCATGGCAAGGCTCACTCACAAGAGATGATTGTTACACATTACAGCACAGGCAATAATGGACAATATAGACTTAGCTTTTTTTATGCAGGGCATAAACTGGCATACTCTAAGAATTCTCAGTTAAATGTCATTATATAGATACAATACAGTTTTAAATTAGATTATACAGAATACTATTAATAATGTTAATAGAAATATATATTTTTTAAAAGGCAAAAGGCACCACCACCAGATTATCCACTAGAAATCACCCTGGGAAAGACTTGTATTACTATTACCAATCACTGGTAAAATAGGAGCACGTCTACATGATTGGAGTGAACTTGTCACAAACCTGGGCAATTCATATGAGCACATGATATAAACATAAGCATCAGCAGATCAAGGTAATGCAGCTTAAGTTATAAGTAGATCTTGACTTCTGTAAAAGTCTAGCTTGTCCCCGCCCTTCATGTCCCTCTGTTGGTTCTCTACTGTGATGAACAGTTTCACCGACCAACAGAAACAGTGATGAGTCTGGGCTTGGTGCAAACTCCGTAGAAAAACTCTGACCACCACCCACTACGCAGCCCCAGGAACGCCCCTGTTGCAACTTCCGACACTGATTGGATCAGCAGGAGGAGGAGGTGGTGGTCAGAGTTTTTTAACAGGCTTGGGTTTGCACCAAGCTCAGCCTATTGACAACTCAGGACATAGAGAAATAAGGAACAAACTAATCTTTTACAGAAAAAAGAGATCTGCAAGCTGCTAACTTCAGCTGCCTATAAATCTGTATCTACTGGCAGAGTAGTTTGCACTGAAGGTCATCTCTGATTACACTTTTGTTCAGATTGCTTAGTCTGAATTGCCCAGCTTTTTGAGAGGTTTATTTGAAAGGACAACAAAGCAACAAACTGAGCAAAACATCTTGACACATATAAGGGGAGAAGATTAAAATTCCACCTGTAATATTCATGAAGTCTGCAGAGATCAGCTAGTGAGGACCTAGTCTCAGCCAGGACTGTCCAGCCTGTACTGTCCACCTAATGCAAGGGGTGCTTGTTGGAGGAACTATAGACATAGCTGTGTCTGCGGAATGCAGCAATTAATACCCAGCACTAGCCAAGCCATTTTATTTAGTTTTGGGTAGATTGGGGAAGGGGCGGAGCCTGTCAGGTTTGTATTGCTGTCTGCAACCTACTGCATAGTTCGTACCCACTTCATGACAGGAGGTGATGGGAAATCTCTCCAACGGGGATACCGAACTTATATTCCATTGAGAATTACAGGTCCTTCTGTCGCAGTGGCTGATGGGACTTGTCAAAGGATCTGTGAATGGCTGAAGTGGCTGTGCGGGCAAAGCCACACGCAGTTGTACCACATTCAAAAAAGAGCAACAGCTTGCCGAGGGAAGAACCCACAATTCAGTTAAGGGGGGGGGGGGAATGTGGCAGGAGGGGTTTGTAATGTGACCGCGTTTCATGTTATACCCTGAATATGGGTGAACCATGAAGCCTGGTCCAAAAGGTGAAGCATTCCATAGACACAGCTGAGCAGACAGTTTCCTCAGGTCAACAAGCCAGTGGTGTACAAATTAAATAATTCCGGAGCCACTTAACCCAAATTAGGAGCCACTAGGCAATTTTAAAGAGCCAGGAGTAGGGTTTTCAATTACAAGAATGGAACAGAGACACAAATGTTAAACTGTCTCTTTATGTTTTAGTTTCAAACTAAAAGTAAAGGGCTAAAACCCCTGTCCGGTCTTTACTGCTGTCCTCGGGACTGAAAGGGAACATACAGAGTTCTGTCACAATAGGAATAGTTGGGACATTTTCTGATGGGGAGATTGTTTCCAGTAACAACTAAAAAACATTTGCTTTAATCTTGGGGGTGGAGGATTTCCTCTTACTTCCTGTAGCGTCTACAGGACAGGAAGTAAAAGGGAAATCTCCCCAATTGGACATAGATTGCAAATATAATCGGACAGCGGGTATAACCATTCCTTACTTCATCCAAATTTTTGGCTTTAGATAACCTTTAAGTAAGCATTTGGTGCACTGGCTTTTCTGGCTCCGGGAACATGCCTGAAAAGGGCACAACTGGAGATCAATATGCTCACAATGTTTTCCTGTCTGCCTTGTAATGTCAGCTCTTTGGCCAAACGACTGGCGAAGCATGGAAAGTCTCCTGAGTGTACATTGGAACTGTCACACAGCAATAGAGGGTTTGAAGTGTTAACAAGATGTTTTATCTCATATCACAGTAGTGAGCCTGTGGAGAGGGACTGACAGATGCAGTGTAGAAGGGGTGTAGGGATGGGTGTAAGACCGGGTGGGGGGATGAGCGAGCCGCAGATCAGAGTGTAGAATTAGCTTGTGGATTGTACAGGGATCCAAAGTGAAGACTTAACCGGTGTTCAGCCTATGTTACCTGCGCCATTATTTTCTTGGCTCCTGCCATGACGATCGGCTTCTAGCCATTGGTATAAAACTACATGACAAACGAAAAAAAAAAAATGGGATGGGTGAAGAATGAGCATCCTAGGAGGTGAGTAAACAGCAAGGTTAGTAAGAAGGAAATGTAAAAACATAAATATGCAAAAAGGAGGGAAGGAAGAAGGCAAAGCAAAATAATACAAACAATAATAACAGCCATAACAATACCATAGTGACACTATAGAGTGGACCTTTAAGTGACTTCACAAGTCTGTGTGCATCATTTCCTGGCATGTCACAATATACAGCAATGTCATATTTATTTTTTTAAAAAGCTCCACCTTTTATCATTAAAAAGTCATTATTGGGCTCCAGTCCAGTGGCATTGCCTAGACTGTGCTGATGTCATCAGTCTGCTGCAGGCAGGAGGAAGCATTTTCTCAGGCTCCTCTATTTCAGTGACCAGAATGCAAAATTGTAACTTTGTAGCAAGTCACACGGTGAGAGGCGACAGTAGGGGCTGATTTATGTAAGAAATTTGTATCCGCAGCCAAGAACTGCACAGGCACCAGGAGAGCCAACATCTCAGTCCAGAAAGTAGATTGCACTGCAGACACTTCTGTGCCTGGTTTGTCGGATAAAAACAATGGTGATCGAAACGATGGTGACAATTTAATATTTATTGGCACCCCGGGGCCGTAGCGCGGGCGACTGAGGTCTCGCTGGAGCTGGGGGGAGAGGGAGGGTGGGGGTTGGGGGGGCGCAGCCAGCGCTCAGCATGGCACTGAGAAGTGGGGCGGCACAGCCTGCAGCTTCTCCTCTGGATCCCTGCTGCTCTCCCCCCAGCTTTATGGGCAGAGGCAGCGGGGAAGCATCATGGCCAAGCGGCGAGGAGAGAGAGAGCCGCACGGCCAGGATCTGACAGCTGGCGGCTCTCTCTCCTCACCGCTCGGCCATGCTGCTGTGACAGCGGCTCCCTCCTCCGCAACCCAGCCCCGCCGGCAAGTGATCAGTGAAATGTACCGATCCACTGGAGCAATCAGCTGATCACTCCAGTGTTTGTAAATAATGGGACACATAGTACTATGTGTCCCCAGTTATGAACCGGAAGTGCTTTACATCACTTCCTGTTCATTCATGAGTCTCCGAATGAGTAGTAGCACTATGTACAGAGGCTTCTCCCCATTCAGAAACTGGATGATAGTAAATATTTTCTGAATGAATGGGAAGTCTCTGTGCTTTCCATTCATTTAGAACAGAGTTTGCAGAAAAATGACTGTTTCTAATAGCATGCAGTCATCTTTTGGACAACAAACTCCCACCCATCTCCTTCTATTTTGTAATCAAAGTGTGTGGAGCCGACAGAGCTCACAGTTCTGCTATCTGCTGAATTGGCCGAGATTAAAAGCTCTTGTTGGCCCTGTCTGCTCCACAAACTTTGAGCCCTGTATGGCTAGCATAAGTCCTGAAAGTTGGGTTGGGCGGAGAATGTCATTTCAGAAAGGCACACAGACGTTTTTTTTGAACAATAAAATGTAGCAGCGGGTTCCTTTTCGGATATCTGTTCTTAGGGCCCGTCACATCTAAACGTAACATTAATCACACGTTTTAAGGTTTTGCGGTACTGCGCACTGCAGCGCACGGTGGCCGAGAGGTATGCTGGGGTACCATTCAATGGAATGGCAAAGCAACACGCCTAGTGCATGGTAACGTCTGCTAGGTGTGTTCCTCGACACTGTGTGTGTTAATTGCATGGAATCATGCAATTACAGCTACGCTCAGATGTGAACGGGCCCTGCAACAGAACCTTCGGACACCTGCGGTCCACTGCGAAGCTTTACTGCATTCATTAAGGTGCAATATTTTATGCGTTAACGTGCGTTCTGTTAAAGCACATTACCATACTTTACATTGCAGTACACACGTTACCGCAATGCATGGAGGTGAAGCCAGCCTGTAATGGCTGACAGGTTGATTCCAATAACGGTACCGCTTCAATTATTTCCTGAATTATAGAAGTTCTCTGTAAAACTATTGTTAGTTTTAGAAACAGACGGGAACAGTTTAATTTTTGCTGTCTGTGTCCAGTTGTGAGATCTGAAGATCTTACTTTACGTCCTGTCCTGAAGACAAAACACCACGCAAAAGAAACTCTCAACAAAGAGGGATTTCCCTTCTTTACACCGTTATCACCAGGACAGGCACCCCCATTAGAAGATCCCCCCCAACTATAGTTCTGGTGATTTTGGATTTCTCATCACTTTGTATCTTGTTGATAAAAGGTCACGAAATCTAATAAAAAGAGTGAATCTCCCCGGCAGAATCACAGACATCAATTAATACTTTGGTGCAGATGTGTGAGGTTGTGTTGGACCGGGTGGCGTTGGTCCCTCCAAAATGTGACATGTCATTAAGGGTGAGGAGCACTTAAAAAAAGCCTTAAGAACTTCCGATGTTTTTACAGGTCTCAAAATCCCTTTTATTAGGAAACGCGTAAACAGAAAACAACCAGTAAACCCTTCTTCAAGGCTCAAGGTTTGAAACTCTATCAACTCATCAAGTAGGTGAAGGTTACAGGTAGGAGCCATGGACATGGCTGGGCCTGTGTGCTGTAAATTCAGATGCATTTCCCTGAAGAAGGGTTTAATCCTGAAACAGGTCGGCCATTTTCAGTTCACGTATTTCCAAATAGAGATAATCAAGTTCTTGCGACAGGGTGCTAGACGACAACCAGCACCCACTCTATCAAAAGCTAAAAAAAAAAAAATTTATGCATACACTTAAAACTGCAATTAAAAAACCAAACCTTTTAAAATTTTGGATAGTGTGAAGAGGGATTAGAGTACCTGTCAGGTATTTTTTGTCGTCTGTGTCCCCGATAGCCATTTTCACCCTATTTTTCCTGGTGACATTATCACTGGAAGTGATATCTCAAATTTTGGGTTGTCCACAAACAGGATAAGATGGGAAATCTTCCAATGGGGACACTAGTTGGTGCTGACCACCAGGAATTTCCCTCAGTTCAGAGGGATAGCCTCCCCTTCCTGTTGTGGTTATCAGACAGGAAGTGAAGGGAAATCTCCCCAATGGGACACAGATGGGAGAAAAAAAAAAAGTTAACAGGGGTTATGACCCTGCCCCCCCCAAAAAAAAGTTTTCACTTCAGTTCTACTTTGAAAGAGAAATTAATGTTGAGCAGTTAGCAAGCGGGCTGACCAGAAAAATGCAAACGGCTTCATTGAAATCATTTCTATTTCACGATACAAAAGTTCTAGTCGACGTGCCATAGATCAGCATAAGTGCTTCCGTGTCCCATGGCTGGAATGCGAGAGAAATATGCAATGCAATCTTAACAATGCAACCAACAAATATCAGATTATGACCTCGCCAAGGAGGAATCTTATCTGCAATGTAATTTTAGAAGCCCTCACTAATGGTGTTGGCTCCTTTTTATAGCAGCGCTTAGTGCAATTAGGTGACAGCGACGGATATATCGTGCCAACACGTGCACCAAGGAGCAGTCGTCGTGGAAAAGTACAACTCTGCGTACAGAAAGACAAATCGGCAAATTAAAATACGGTAGCGGGAACGTAAAAACATAAAGGAAAGGCGCAAGGCTAGGCAGCACATATGGGCAATCTAACACAGCTGTCAGTTGCGGCTCGGTGATAGAAGACCTGAATAATTCATCGTGAGAGTAACAGAAAACCAGGGTCCCGGACTATTTTGAGCCGCTCTGTTTTGTGCGCTGCTCGGCAGAAGTGGTGAATGAACCAATAACCGTTTACGACAGAAACAAACTGACACATACGGAGAGGCGGTGAAAAAGAAATGCGGTGCAGAGCACAATAACCACAGCAAACAACTGCTATTTGCCTTGGTGCATAAATGTAATAGCAATGACATGACACAAAGGCTGACCCTACAGAAGATTCAAGTGAATCTAAACCCAAAAGCAAACATTAAATATATTGCAGCTTACAAATTTTTAGATGTGGTGGGCTATACTAGTTTTCTTTTTTTTGGCCTTTTACTTCTTAAAAAGGAGGAGAATTATGAGGCGTGTGATTTTCACTCAGCGAACAATTCGGATCACGAACAGGAAGTTCAGCATGGGTGAATTGGGTGACCAACACAAACGCAGCCATCTTCCCTGCTCTGACCCGTGGTCGTGGCTTCCTCTAGTCGAGATCGCGGTCCGATCACAGTTTGATTCGGTTTACGACCAATTCGGTTCGCGACCAGAATCTTGGAACTAATTAAGTTCGTGAACCGAGGTACCCCTGTATGTCACCAGCACACCATGGCTAAATCTTCAAGAAGTGATCATTTTATTGATACACACAGCAATGTTTCAGGGCCACTCAGGGTTCCTTCACAAGCAAGATGCGCAGATGGGGGAATGAAACACTGGGAAGCAGGAGAAATCCTGGAAACACCAGGATTTTCCATCTTTCAAAATGCCCCCCGCAAAATTTCGGAACAGAACATAAACTTGGCAAAAAGGTATTTTAAAAAGATAAAAGCGCTATTCTTCGTTGGCTAATTGTATATAAATACTTATGTTGATTCTTTTAGCTGCAATATGTTACATTTTTGTTCTTAGGTTTGGATCCGCTTCAATCTACACCTGCGTTGTCATATTTTCATGATATATCTTTATATTCATATTCCATTTTTTTTAGCAGTTGTTCATATCGCAAACAGAGCAATCAGCATCCATGCTGAGCATCTTCTGTGAAGAAAAAACAACTGTCCAAGAGACAATTTTTTGGTTTGGATAAGTTTAACAGATATCACCGCCAGCATCCAGCAAGTCTCGGTGCTCGAAAGAGTTGTGCAAAGAGGAAAAACGATCCCCACCTGTTGCTCTCGAAGAGACGTCTGCCCGGGCATGGGAAACCAATTTGCACCGCCCAGCACACACTGTGGATACCCAACGCTGCAGGGTTCTATGTGGAGCTCTGCCTCTGTTCTACCCGGTGCAGGTGCTGCTGTACATTTGTTATTCTAAACAAGGCCTAGTCATGGTACGTTGTTATCGCCAATTTCCTG